TTTTTTACTTTTCATGCCATTGTTTCATCATTTTGGCCACTGATTTGGGCATGATTGAGGTGTATCCATTTTAGTATAAGTCCGTTTTGCATGTTGTTGCATGCTTATTGCATTGCCTGGTACATTGCATGTTGTTGCATGCTTATTGCATTGCTTGGTACATTGCATGTTATTGCATGCTTGGTACATTGCATGTTGTTGCATGCTAGTTGCATTGCATGACATTATAATTTGCATGTTGTTGCATGTTCATGATGTTTAGCATGTTTGATTGGATAGCATGTTGTTGCATGCTTCGTATATAGCATGTTGTTGCATGCTTGTTCCATTGTATTGTTGTTGCATGCTTGAGTTGCATTGCATGGTGCTTGCATGCTCATGTTGCATTACAATGTTTGCATACCATTAGCTTTGTTAAGTTGTGCATGCATTGCATTGTGTTTGGTATGGGTGTTAAGCCAAACACGAGAAGCGAGGGACGTTTCATACTTGAAGTGATGAAACGTGCCTCAATTCTCGGTTGCCAACCCTCTTGATCATGCATGATAGAGGTTAAGGCATTTATGTGTTTTTGTGCATTCATTTGGCATTGATTTGTGCAACTCGCCCTCTTTGGCCATCATGCATCGAGATGCGTGATTGATAGCTCGAGAGCCGAGCACTACACTCCTTTGAGCTTTTAAACATGATAAGGGGTGTAGTTGCACACACATTTTGTTGCAAATACATTGCCATGCCTCTGTTTGTGCTCTGTTGCAGCAAAAGGAGAAGTTTGTCGGAAGAAGTGGTCGATCGTCTATACAGTGTGCCGATCAGCTATCAATAATTGGCTGATAGCCTCAAAATTGGTCGATGACCATTATCCATTGGCCGATGACCTCTCGGCATGTCTATGAGGTAGGTCAGAAGCATCACAGAAGTTGGCATAATTTTCAGAGGTGCAGAAGTATGCAAACAGAGGCAACATGAGGCATGGTAACGGATTTCCGAGTGAAGTCGATCGAGCATGCATATGCCCCTCTTCTCGAGGCCGTTTTAACTGCTTTGTATAGTTAGTTAATTTGTAATTAATTAGTTAATGTGTTAGCTTGTTTAATTCATCGTTATAAATTCTTAATTAGCTTAGCATAGATAATTTTCAATTTGATTATGTAATAATTAGTCTAATTAGATTATTAGATTAGTTAGATTAGCTTAGCGTAGCTAGCTTAGTTCTCATTTGGACCCGCAGTCAAGAGGGCAAATTTTGTAATAAGCGTGCGTGTGTGCGATGCATGTCTTCCAACCCCCATTTCTTTCTCCCTTTTACTTACCTGCTTTCAGTGGTTAGTTTTAGGGCATGTTTCAATAAGCATCCTTATGCTTGCATGCGTGCATTCATTCATTTGTCTTGCATGCACCGGGCTCGGCGCACCGTACAAACTGCATTGTATTTCAATACCAATTTGAATGCATGTATCAATTGTTGCATGTCATAAGCCATTTTAGAATAGCTGAGCCTATCTTAGTTGCATTTTGCATGTATTGCATTAGGCATTGATTGACATAGCTAGGATCATGCATTGATTACTAACTAGCTTCTTTTTTGGCTTGGAGTACTAGGTAAGTTTTTACGCTTTAGCATATTGCATGAGATGTGTATGTAGCCATGTTAGCATGCTTGCCATGAGGCTAACTGGTTAAGTGATTAACTTCATGAATGCATGTGGGTGAAGGTTGGATTGCTTGAATTGGAACAATTCATCAAATGCGAGTTTTAAGCCTACTTGAGAGTGGCAAAATCTTGTTTTCTAAGCCCACTTGAGGGTGGCAAAATCTATGTAAGAACCCGACCCTCGCACATGATTTCTGATATATTCTCAGTCCTTGATTGGTACTTTTAAATGCTTACTGTAAACTTCCATGAAAAATTACGGTTAAGTAAGTAAAATCCATATTTATGAATGCCTATCTGTTGCACAAGAAAACTATCTATTACCATTAACACGTTTGAATTAGAAATTGGAAGCCTTAACGGCTTAATTATCGGCAATTGATTATATATCTGTGATTAGCATAATTTTTACGTAATATTAAGCATGTTTACGAAATTTCAATTTCGAAATGATTAAACGATGAAATTTTGTCTTATATGCCATTATATATATATATATCAAAGTCCAAGTTCTCTTAAGCTTGATCAAAAACAATTTGACATATCTCTTGGAGAGGAAAAAACAAAAGAAGAGGAAAAAAAAAAAAAGGAGAACAAGGGCAAGGTTCCACAAGGAAGGGAATTGAGATTAAATTAGGAGATCCTTACCATTTTTAAAGCTTAAGGTATGTTAAATTTAGTGTATATGGGAATTCTTGTGAAGAAGGATTTGTTTATGATTCATGTTTGATGATTTAGGGTTGTAATGGAGAATTGTTCATAATTTATGTTTGGTTGAAGAGGATACTCATCAATTGGTTGCTTTGACATGAAATTTATACCTCAATCTTTGATTCTCATGTTAAACCCATGAAACTATATTTAAGTAATGTATGATGTTTTGATAAACATGAGGAACTTGAATTAAAGATAGAATTTAGAAGGTTTGTAACTTGAATAAGCTTCTATTCATGTGTATTTTATGATGCTCAAGTTCTAGTATATGCTATGGTGCACTTTATACTTCAATCCTTGGTTTTTATGCCATATTATAATGTGTTATGCTTTATGAACAAAAGGAAGTTAACTTAAGGATGAAATTTGGAAGAATAGTGACTTGATCAAGCTTTTAATCATGTTACCTTGCGATATTTCAATGATAAATTATGTTATAGTGAAGTTGGGTTCAAGTATTGCCTTAATTTCATCTTGGGTTGCATGAGAAATGAAGTGATGATGCTTAAAATTGAGTTGAAACCGAGCTGCCCCAAAACAAGGCCATGGCCACTCGAGCGGAGGCCTTGGGCGCTCGAGCAGAGAAAGAAGAAAAACCTGGAAATGCCTACTGTCTACGGCCGCTTGAGCGGAGGGAGATGACCGCACGTGCAGTGTTTTGGCGCTCGAGCGGAGGGTCCGGCCGCACGTGCGGCCTGGGCTGGAAAAGTGGTTCGCTTAGTTTTGTGTGCTTGACTCACTGGTATTTTTTTTAAGAATATTTTCTGATGATTTTAACAGGGTTGTAAATACATGCAAAGTGTAATGATTCAGGAAATGATTTAAGAAAGAAAAGAGAACCAGTGTGCAAGTTTTGCGTGTGTGCAGGACACACTCCGGGAGGAAGTAACACGTCATCGCAACACTGTGAGTAGTAGTACGCTTTACTACAGATAATGATTGCCTTAGCATTTTGTTGATGATAATCATGCACTTGTACTTAATGTAAATGTATGATGATAAGAAGGTGAACGTTTTGCCTACTCACATGTTTCAAGGGCCTCGTGCCATAAGTTTCAAGTAGGTTTCAAGGGCCTCGTGCCACATGTTTCAAGGGCCTCGTGCCATATGTTTCAAGGGCCTCGTGCCACATGTATCAAGGGCCTCGTGCCATCACATTTCAAGGGCTTATAGCCATATGTTTATGTTGCAGGATTGGGCCTAAGGCCGTTATGTACTTAGCACAGAATTAGACTAACCATGTGAGCTCTACATCTTTATATGTATAGATGTGTTTTATGTTTCAATTTAAACATCGTTTATTTTGTATTACTATTCACTGAGCCCGGCTCACTCTCTATTATGTCTGTTTCTGTAGGTCATCAATCAGGAGGTTAGTCCTAGCCTTGACGCCGCTTTCTTTTGTCAACCTTTACGTGTCCAGGCACTATACAAGGCCATCCATTTTGTTAAGTTGTTAAGATGTTGGCATGCTATTTAAGTGTCCACCTAAGGTTGATGTACATAACTTTTATGTTTTTTTTTGTCTACGCCCTATCATGGGGCTGGGACTGTAAAGGTATGTGTATGTAATCGTTAGCCAGGGATATAGTTTTAAACTTTATCTGACTTTGATGATGTATGTGATGTTGGGATCCTGGCATATTAGAAATAGCTCAATGGAGTATGTTTGTATCGATGTTATGTTAGTATTTTAAGCTTCCGATAAGGCCCCGTAGATTATGTATACCAGGTTACATGTCCGTTTTTGAATAGGTCATGCCCAAACTTTTAGGGACAGGTTTGGGGTGTGACAAGTGGTATCAGAGCACGAGTTGCTATCTCACACACGGATCCACTGAGCTGTAGGGTGTCTAGAAAAGATTTAGGCATCATGCATGACATCCTAAAAGTATAAGACAAGTTTGATGGCAACATTAAGTGTACTCCAATGATGTTAACAATTTTGAACTATGTCTATTGTTTATAATTGATTGTTGTGTAGATCATGGTGAGAACAAGGGCAAAGGAGCAGGAAGATGCTACTGCCGCACGGTTGGACAGGATGGAGAGAATGATTATGGAGATGGCGGAGACCTTACGGCAACAACAGCAACAGCCACAACAGCAGCAACAGCCACAAGAACAACTGCCACCGCCACCGGTACCTCCACCGATAGTACCAGAGTTCCATGCTGAAGACCGAACTATCACTCTCACTAAGGAGTTTAAAAAGATGAAACCACCATCTTTCAAAGGAGGGATAGAACCGATGAAAGCTGAGGCCTGGGTATTAGGCATAGAGAAGTTATTTGAAGTCTTTCCCTGCACCGAAGCTCAAAAGGTACAACTAGCTGCCTTCACTCTTGAGGACGAGGCATGGAGGTGGTGGATGCTTGCGAGAACAATCTATCCAGGGTTAACTTGGGACAGATTTCTGGAGCTGTTTTATGATAAATACTTCCCTCAAAGCATGCTGGATAAAAAGGTGACTGAATTTGAAACTCTCAGACAAGGGAACAAGACTATTGCTGAATATGATGCCCAATTTGCAGAGCTAGCCCGGTTTGCACCGCACATGGTGGACACGGACTATAAGAAGGCACAAAAATTTGCAGGGGGCTTACGGGGTGCTATCCTGGACTGAGTTAATATGTTAAAGTTGCCTACTTATGTAGATGTGCTGGAGAGGGCTGTTATAGCTGAGGGAAACCTTGCTGCTCAGAACCGGATTTCCGAGTGGAAAGGAAAGAGGCAAAATAATCAATGGTCAAAGGGAGCGACTACTCCACCAAACAAGAAACAAAACTCAGGGACTTCAAATACTTCTGCCCCTAGTCAGGGTGCGATTCCTGTTTGTTCGGAATGTGGAAGGAGGCATCGTGGGACGTGCCATTGGAAGTCTGGAGCCTGTTATCAGTGTGGCAAAACGGGTCATTTGATAAGGGATTGCCCTCATAGGAATCAACGGAATGGCAATAGGGCTGCTACTAGTTCTGCGACATCTACACCAACTACTAACACCAAGACACCGGTCAAACCTAATAACAATAAAGACACTGCGAGGCAAGGGAGGGTGTTTGCATTGGTTCCGGGAGATGTGCAAAATGCAGCAACAGTGGTGTCAGGTACATTTATGGTTCATGGTCATTCAGCTTCCGTCTTATTTGATTCTGGTTCTACCCATTCTTTTGTGTCAAAACTATTTGCTCCTAATTTAGATAAACCAGAAGAAGTATTATCTTATATATTATGTGTGTCCTCACCCTTGGGGGATTCTATGATCTCTGCCTCTGTATATGTTACTTATGAACTCCACCTTGGGGATATTCGGGTATATGCCAATCTGTTACCTCTCGACATGATGTATTTTGATATTGTACTGGAAATGGACTGGCTGAGTGAACATGGTGCAACTATAAATTGTTTGACGAAGCAAGTTAATTTCTACCCTTCGGGTCAAGCATAATCTACATTTCAAGGACAGGAGGTGACTTCCCCACCGTATTTGATTTCTGCAGCAAGGGCTTGTAGGTTAATTCAGAAAGGGTGCCAAGGGTTTTTGTGTAGTGTTTTGGAAGAGCAAATAATGAATGAGGGTACTGACGTAATTCCAGTTGTTCATGACTTTCCAAACGTTTTTCCAGAAGAGTTACCAGTGCAATTGATAGACCGGGAAATTGAATTTACAATTGAAGTGGCACCGAGAACTCAACCTATTTCGAAGACTCCGTATAGAATGTCACCAGTTGAGATGAAAGAATTGAAAATGCAGTTGCAAGAGTTACTAGACAAGGGATTTATCCATCCGAGTGTGTCTCCGTCGGGTGCACCAGTTCTGTTTGTAAAGAAGAAGGATGGAACACTCTGGCTTTGTATCGATTATAGGGAACTTAATAAAGTTACAATCAAGAATAAGTATCCATTGCCAAGAATCGATGACCTATTTGATCAGCTTCTGGGGGCACAAGTCTTTTCCAAGATTGATCTACGGTCTGGATACCATCAATTAAAGGTCAAGGCTGATGATGTTGAGAAGACAACTTTTCGAACCCGGTACGGTCATTATGAATTTTTGGTTATGCCCTTCAGAGTCACAAATGCACCAGCAGCTTTTATGGATTTGATGAATCGTGTTTTCAAGCCCTATTTGGATGAATTTGTGGTGGTCTTTATCGACGATATTCTCATTTATTCAAAGAATGTAGAAGCTCATGAGAACCATCTTCGCTTAATCCTTCAAACCCTCCGGGAGAAGAAACTGTATGCAAAGCTGAAGAAATGTGAATTCTGGCTACGAGAAGTGGCATTTTTGGGGCACGTTATTACAAAGGAAGGAGTTTTCGTCGACCCACACAAGATTGAGGCAATTGTGAAATGGCCAACTCCTACTAATGTGACTGAGGTATGTAGTTTTATGGGGTTAGCTGGCTATTACAGGAGATTTGTTCAAGATTTTTCTGAAATTGTTGTGCCACTTACACAACTGACTCGAAAGGGAGTTGCATTCGAATGGTCAGAAGAGCGGGAATCTGCCTTCCAAGAATTGAAGACAAGGTTGACAACAGCACCAGTTTTGGCTTTGCCATCCGGTACAGAAGGATTTGTAATCTGCAGTGATGCTTCGCATAAAGGCCTTGGTTGTGTACTTATGCAAAATGGAAGAGTCATGGCTTATGCTTCTCGGCTGCTAAAACCCCATGAGAAGAATTATCCCACGCATGATCTGGAGCTAGCTGCAGTAGTCTTTGCTTTAAAGATATGGAGACACTATTTGTATGGCACTACCTGCGAAGTATATACTGACCACAAGAGTCTCAAGTACCTTTTTACTCAAAAAGAGTTGAATATACGGCAACGACGATGGTTGGAACTTCTTAAAGATTATGATTTGCAGATTCATTACCATCCTGGTAAAGCCAACACAGTTGCAGATGCGCTCAGTCGGAAAAGTATGGGGACTATGGCAAGTATGGTTACAGGGCAAAAGAAATTGGCAATTGAATTGGGTAAAATGGAATTAGACTTTGTGTTACATGGCCAAGAAGCTTTAATGGCAGCAGTGATAGCCCAACCAACCTTACTTGAGGAAATTAAATTGCATCAGATAGAGGATGAAGCTCTAAGGAAGATATGTGGTGAGTTGGGAACTAAGCCGAAATTGGGATTCAGTTTAGTAGATGCGGTGCTCAAATTTCAAAACCGAGTATGTGTCCCCAATGTGTTAAACCTTAAGCAAAAACTGATGGAAGACGCACATACCTCAAGGTTTTCAATGCATCCAGGGAGTACCAAAATGTACCGAGATTTGAAGCAAAATTTTTGGTGGGCAAGTATGAAGAGGGAGATCGCAGAGTTTGTCTCTAAGTGTTTGCAATGTCAGCAAGTAAAGCGGGGCATCAAAGACCTGCCGATTCGTTGCAACCTCTTCCCATCCCGGAATGGAAATGGGAACATTTGACCATGGATTTTGTTGTAGGGTTACCGCGGACTCCTCGGGTTATGAATTCGATATGGGTCATTGTGGACCGATTGACTAAGTCCGCTCACTTTTTACTAGTAAAGACTCAGTATAATGTAGATAAATTGGTGGTAATTTATGTGAATGAAATTGTAAGACTTCATGGTGTTCCGGTCTCCATTGTGCCAGATAGGGATCCTAAGTTTGTTTCCAGATTCTGGCAGAGTTTACAAGAAGCAATGGGTACAGAATTAAAGTTCAGCACAGCTTTCCACCCTCAGACCGACGGTCAATCCGAGAGAACAATACAAACTCTTGAGGATATGCTCCGAATGTGTGTGCTAGAGTTTCAAGAAAGTTGGGAAACCCATGTACCGTTGGTAGAATTTGCGTACAATAATAGCTACCATTCAAGTATAGACATGGCACCCTATGAAGCTTTATATGGAAGACCATGTCGTTCTCTCGTGTGCTGGGCTGAAGTTGGAGATAAATCCTTGTTAGGGCCTGAAATTGTTCAGTTGACAACTGAAAAAGTTCAAGTTATTCGGGAAAGATTGAGAACTGCTCCAAGTAGACAAAAAAGTTATGCGGATAACCGACGGAGAGATTTCGAATATGAAGTGGATAGTCATGTCTTCGTGAAAGTTACTCCGATGAAAGGACGCTCAAGATTCGGAAAGAGGGATACCTTCCGAATCCGTCACATGTCATTGATTACCACCAAATTGAGTTGGACGACAAGCTAATTTACGAGGAAAAATCAATCCGCATTTTGGACCGACAAGTGAAACACTTACGAAATCGAGAAATTCTAATGGTCAAAGTTGAGTGGCAAGAGCATTACGGAACCGACGCAACTTGGGAAAAAGAAGAGGACATGCAACACCAATACCCACATTTGTTTTTGCCTTACGGTACAACAAGTCTGGAGGACCAAACTTATTTAAAGAGGGGAGAGTGTAAGAACCCGACCCTCGCACATGATTTCTAATATATTCTCAGTCCTTGATTGGTACTTTTAAATGCTTACTGTAAACTTCCATGAAAAATTACGGTTAAGTAAGTAAAATCCATGTTTATGAATGCCTATCTGTTGCATAAGAAAACTATCTATTACCATTTACACGTTTGAATTAGAAATTTGAAGCCTTAACGGCTTAATTATCTGTAATTGATTATATATCTGTGATTAGCATAATTTTTACGTAATATTAAGCATGTTTACGAAATTTCAATTTCAGAATGATTAAATGATGGAATTTTGTCTTATATGCCATTATATATATATCAAAGTCCAAGTTCTCTTAAGCTTGATCAAAAACAATTTGACTTATCTCTTGGAGAGGAAAAAAAGAAAGAAGAGGAAAAAAAAAAAGGAGAACAAGGGCAAGGTTCAACAAGGAAGGGAATTGAGATTAAATTAGGAGATCCTTGCCATTTTTGAAGCTTAAGGTATGGTAAATTTAGTGTATATGGGAATTCTCCTTTTAATTGTGAAGAAGGATTTTTTTATGATTTATGTTTGATGATTTAGGGTTGTAATGGAGAATTGTTCGTAATTTATGTTTGATTGAAGAGGATACTCATCAATTGGTTGCTTTGACATGAAATTTATACCTCAATCTTTGCTTCTCATGTTAAACCCATGAAACTATATTTAAGTAATGTATGATGTTTTGATAAACATGAGGAACTTGAATTAAAGATAGAATTTAGAAGGTTTGTAACTTGAATAAGCTTCTATTCATGTGTATTTTATGATGCTCAAGTTCTAGTATATGCTATGGTGCACTTTATACTTCAATCCTTGGTTTTTATGCCATATTATAATGTGTTATGCTTTATGAACAAAAGGAAGTTAACTTAAGGATGAAATTTGGAAGAATAGTGACTTGATCAAGCTTTTAATCATGTTACCTTGCGATATTTCAATGATAAATTATGTTATAGTGAAGTTGGGTTCAAGTATTGCCTTAATTTCATCTTGGGTTGCATGAGAAATGAAGTGAAGATGCTTAAAATTGAGTTGAAATCGAGCTGCCCCAAAACACGTCTTGGCGAACTTGCGAGTAGCACCTTCAAACCGTTTTCAAACAAATGAACATGAAATGTTTTGTTCCAACTTAGGTGATCTAGTCTATACTTGTGTGTTGTGCGCATCACGTAGTAAGCTAGCTAATAAATTGGAATAAGAACACATGTGTGTTCAAAAACAAAATATCATGTTAGTAAAGACCAATCTTTGATCAGGCAAGCGGGGGTGCTCATTGCATGACTTTTCCCTCTCGTACCCAAGTTCCCAAGCCGAGGCAACTTTTGTGATGACGGATACGTGGCCTTAGGCACGAGTCAGGGTTTCTTAAATTTCTCCAAAATAAAATATTTAGGTGGCGACTCTATATCTGGCAAAGCAGTCCATGTTTGGCACTTCTTTATTAAAATTAGTTTTCCAAAACGATTGGCCGGATTTGTACTCTTTGTTGATTTATCAATCTTGCATTGAACTTTGCAAGATTAGATTCAAAACTGTGACATTGAGTCCAAACTGTAGTAGCTAATGAACAAAACGATTTCGCGCCCTCGCTCGCGGAGCGGGGACGTTCGGGCACGTCTACACTCACTCTGTAATACTGGTTTCGAGATTAGATCCTATCAAATATCTCTTCAAGAAACGGGCGCTTACGGGTAGGCTAGCCCGTTGGTGGCTTCTGGTAGACGTCCCCGAACGTCCCGGGAGGGAATCCTATTTTGTTCATTTGGGCTCACTACAGTTCGGACTCAAATTGTCACGGTTCTTAATCTGATCTCACAATGTGCGATGTGAGATTGATAAATCACCAAAGAGTCCAAATCCGGCAAATCGTTTTGAAAAACAAATTTTTAGAAAGAAGTGCCAAACATGGACTGCTTTGCCAGATACAGAGTCGCCACCTAAATGTTTTATTTTGGGAAAATTTAGGAAACCCTGACTCGTCGCCTAAGGCCAGATGTCCGTAATCACCAAA